TGTTTCCCATATGTAAATGCTGGTTTACAGGTATCCTGGGGCCCTTTGAGAAAAATAGGTGTTACCCTACTGCAATCCCATTGACCTAGGCATTTGGCTAATCAAGGAAGTGATTTGGGAGGAAGTTCAAGACCCAAATCCAGTTTAAAAGATATATTAGTTCTATAACATTTCAATGTAATTATTATTTATTTAGACATCCCACAGGTGCCATGACTGTATAATTCTATGTTCTGTTGAAGGTTCAGGAAATGACTGAGACTTAATGCAGTTTCAACAAGCCAGAACAATTCCCCATATGGATATCCACCCTCATCTATCCTTTCTCAAGGCGTCTTAAACTATTTCTCAGTTATAATTACCCAATACACACTCCCAGAAGGGAGGCAGGGAGCCGCTCTGTGCATCCATTTATAGATGAGGCAGCTGAATCTCACAAAGAACTAATGCCTTGTCTAAAGATCACAAAACTACTAGAATTTAATGGAATGATGGCAACAGAATTCACATCTTCCAACCTCAGCTCCATGCTTGACCCACTGAGTACTAAAGATGCTCAGATCACCTAAACCCATAGTACCTCAGGCACTCTGGAAACTAACACTGAAGAACTGCGGTTCTGAGATGAGCCCCAAACAATGGAATAGAGGAAACATGACTGAAGGAGGTCAGGTCTTGGGCAAATGGAATTTAGGCAGTGGATGAAAAAGAAAATGACAAGAAAGGAAAGGAAGGTATGAACCAACCCACACACATAGGCGTTGCTGTAGGATTACTGAGTTGTACCTGCTGCCCGCCTGCAAGCACTTCTCAAAAATCCAGGGGGTCTCACTTGGGCATTTTTGAAGGTGAGAAGGTGGTTGTCTCCTACCCCTTTCCCCAACATACATTCCATGCCCCCTACCCCCAGGGCTGGTATGTATTCCCTCCCTGCTTTTCTACTTGTGCCACTACTCTACATTCACCTAAGCTTCCAAGCATTTTATGAGCAACTGTGCAATGGATCCCAAATACTGAAGTTCAAGGCAGTTGTTAATCTTTAGATTTAAACACTTGAAATAATATGTACTTGTTAGACTTCAGTTTCATGAAGAACAAAAGTAGCACTCCACTGCATTACCAACAGTCACATCTGTAATAAGTTTGAGTGTTTTGTTTTGCTTTGTTTTGAAATACCACATCTTTGACTGGCATATCCTTGTTCATTATTTAAAAACATAATTATTCCTTTGGCCTCAATAAATGATGCCCCAAGTTTACAGATCACCTGCTAGATGTAATTTAGTAAAGGCTGTTTGCTCCTCACTTTATTACTCTCTCAGACTAGCCACTCACCACTCACTCTTGAGACCTAAGACCCAGCACAGAGCATGTGCCCCGAAAGATCACACGTACCTCTGTCCAAACATCAATGTGGACTTGGTCTCAGCCTCATTGAAGACAGAAGGAGAACAGCAAATGACAATGGTTGTTCTGCAGTTTCCACCCAGAGAGTCTTGGAGAATCCGAGTCATCTTGCTGTCCCGGTATGGCACATGTGTTTTCTATTTAGAAAAAGAAAAAGAATGGATTCTGACAGCCCATTCAAAGAAAAACACAAGGCAAGCAAGTCAGGGACAGAGATGCTGAGCTTAGAAACATGATTAAAACAAGAATCTGTGGTCATGCCTTTTGACCATGCCAAAGTATAGAATGCCCATTCTTTAGCCCGGGTTATAGGAAATGAGCATTACCATTCATAACTTTTTGTGATGTGGATCTCTCTGCAAGGAGGCATTCACAGCCAGGATTCCCTTTGTATTTTTCCAAACAGAAAAGCAAGCAACCCTCAGATGGGGGGGTGGCGGCAAAGAGACTGTGAGGACCCAAAGGCGGCTTCCCATAATATTATTTAATAGATGGGACAGGATCACTTACTGTTCCTTCTGCCAGGGCAGAGATCACATTTCCAAGAGCAGACAAAGACTTATTGATATTTTTAGCTTCGTCAAGAACAGCTCCCTCGGCACCAGTTTTGCTGACCTACCAGACAGAAAAGAAAGCAGTGAGCTGCACAGGATAGCAGACACACAAAGTAGAAAATTCAGATTCACACAAGGGCAAGAGGAAGACCCTCCTGCAAAGCAAAGAAAAATGAAAGTAGATAAGAACCACAGTGACAAAACCATCCCTAGTGCGTGAGGCTGGGGATTTGGACTCTCCTGCTGTCATTTTCCTCTCAATTAGGTTTTAGTGAAATGGCTGAAATACCACAAGTGGCGGAGCTACAGATGCTCCCCCAGAGGACATCCATCCAGGGAAACCAGGCACCAGAAGTGCTGTCACCATGAGTAGGCTCGGGTCCTAGGAGACTGAGCTGCAGTCTCCCTGCCAGAGGGAGCCCAGAGGGGAGCGTTAAGAGAAAACGCTGTCCTGAGCCACAACGAATGGGCATATTGGGAAAATTCAAGTTATGAGCTGCAAATCCAGGCAAAGGACTATAGGTGGCGCGGCTGGTCATCCAGACTCTGTTCCTTCCCTACTTACTCTCATAGCAAGGAAAAAAGAAACAATATATCCAAGACACAAAAACTTGGAAAGACATGAAGAGTCAAGAAAATGTATATTGCATCGTACATTTGTCTTTTTCCTCTGCAGCCAGAGAAACCATGCACGGTTCCTCCTCTGCTGTGTTATTATTGGTAATTTCATATTTACAGCATTTGCTTTAGATAGAGGACAGTGTACAGGCACTAGAGAAAAAGGGAACTCAACATGATTCATGTCTCTGCTGGCAGACAAATGATGCAGGGTGAGCGGCTGCTCTCTGAAGAAAGGAAGGGAGGAATAATTTTCAACTGCACAAAGATGGATTTCAGTCACATATAAAGGAGAAACTCCTGGTGACAGAGATGAATGCATGTCCAGGGGGAGGTTTTTTCAAACAGAATAGATTCTCATCTCTCTTGGAAATGTGTGTGCAGTACCTGTGCTTACAGATAGAGAAACACGTAGCTGATGGGTCACAAATAATAACAGTCTATTCACACAATTTTTTAAAGATGCTTTCATATTTGAGCATCTTAACTCCATGAAAAATACAAGGCAGGTATTATCTATCATCTTCCTTTTACAGACAAGGAAACTGAACCCCAGAGATGTCAAATTGCCAGACTAAGCAAAGAACGCCATTTAGGGGAGATGAGAACTAAAGCCCAGAATTCTCCTCTAACTAGATCACACTGACACATTCATGTGGACACATCGAGGGCCAAGGAAAACAGATGTGAACAAAAGAAATTATGCAAAGGATACAATTTTAAATGCCTCTTAAGTATCATTAGCGATAACTACCAACGCTGTGCAGAAACAGGCCACCACTCTGATCTGCCAGCATAAAGCAGTTTTCAGGAGTATTCAGGCTCCAAATACTCATATCTGTGCTCAGCAAGAGGGAAGGGGCCATTCAAGGCTCTTTGTGTAGACGCACACGTAATATAGCAGTAGAGCCAATGCTGGTTGTTAATGGTCAATCTAGAACTAAACAACACTGCTCCATTATTTGTATTCTGTTGCATGTCTGTTTAACTGAAGTTACAAGCCCATATTGGTAAAATTTTATATACTCCCAACCAGGAGTATGTAACAGAATGACTTCCTGTTCACGGCTTTACAAATGCAGACAAGAGGACAATCCAAGTGACCATACTTACATGGATATTAATGGTCATAACTTGGCCCACAGGAACTCAGTGGTATGATGTAGTAAGTGGGGACCAATTATTCAGTTAAGGAGACTGACCAGGTTCCAAGGCCAGCCCTGATGAGGACAATCAGTAAAATGTCAATGGTGATAAAGACCAAAGGGTATTGTGCACATGGACTTGCTTTGTGATGCTGCCACGGGGCTCAGTGCTCTTAGCAAGGGTGTGACAGTAGAAGCCTCTCACTGCTGCTATGAAGTGAGGCTGGAGGTTTTGGGAAGACTATTTGATCTGAAGTACATCCCTAGCCAGAGCCTGGGAAGACATGGGACTGGGTGCAATGCCAAAAGAGAGTTCTGACAAAACCAGAGAATGGTCTGGACTTATGGCTAAGACTGATGACAGGTCTTACAGCCTGAGGAAACCAAGGCCGTCCACGTGGGACAGTGCCAGCCCATGCCTAATGCTGGGAAATCCAGAGACCACAGGGAGAGCCCCAGGTTCCAGATCTTCTATCTACAAAACAAACCCACAGAAGCAGGACTGCCACATACCAATGACAGCTCATTCCTGGCCTCTCTGAATCTGGAACAAAATGGGATTTCCCTCCCCGCTTTTCTCAGAAGTTCACATCCCTCTCACATTTGTATAACTGCCTCTGCCAGGCTAAGTCAGATCAACATTTGCCTAATGTCATCATCAGAGCATATCAGGGAGAAATCACAGTTAGCATTCAAAGCACCTGCCTATGACACAAATAGGGAACTTCAGGACCAGAAGAGAAAGCAAAGGAAAGGGTTGCATTTAATAACATCTTGGCACAATATCAGAAACTATAAAACTAGGAAATAAGAAAGGCATAAAAATTATACCATTGCACACTGATGCAAATAACAGGGGGAAATTTCAGATAATACAAATAAAGAACCAATTACCTTTTCACTCCCAGCCAAATCAACCAGATAAAGCTTCCCACTGAGTTTTTTTTCAGTCTCTACATTCTCTTGCTTAATATTAATCAAGAAGATACTGTGACTTCTAGAGCTGTGTTCATTCATGTCTGAAAAAGAAAACAGTTTACTCCTCTACAAAGAACATGTAGATTTAGGTAACAAACCTCTTGTCTAAAAAGCACAACAAATCATGCCTTATACTCTATTTCTTTGAAGAAAGATCAGCCAATTTTTAAAAATCACCGAGATCACGGTTTCTTCTTAAAAACAATGCTCATTATAGAAAGAAATGATTTTTTAAATGTCTTCAAGTAGCAAATAAATTAATCTAACAAATCTTAGTCAAAAGTTTAAGATAGGTCGTCTCCCGGCAGTGCAGCTGCCGCTACCGCCGCCCCTCCGTCCGTCAGCTTGCCCGTCTACCCGCAGCATGAGCAGCCTGCGCGTCTACAGCACGTCGGTCACCCACTCCCGCGAAATCAAGTCACAGCAGAGCGAGGTGACCCGCATCCTGGATGGGACACGCATCCAATACCAACTAGTGGACATCTCCCAGGACAACGCCCTGCCGGATGAGATGCGAGTCTTGGCGGGCAACCCCAAGGCCACCCCACCCCAGATTGTCAACGGACACCATTGCTGTGGGGACTATGAGCTCTTCGTGGAAGCTGTGGAGCAGAACACACTGCAGGAGTTCCTGAAGCTGGCCTGAGTCGAGGCAGCCCACGGTTCTCCCGCTCGACTCCATCACCACACTCTCCTCTCCCCCGGCCATGAAGGACCTTGTGACCAACTCCCTGTCATTCCTAGCCTTCTGACCTTGGAGTCCCTACCCCAAGCCCAGGCCCCTTCTCCTGCCCCCTCTCACTGTTGCTCCCTCTCCTCTATTCAAAGGCAACATTCCTGACTGACTAGTCGCAGAAATTGTCTTAAGCAGCAGCTCCAAATGTTGGCTGTCCCCAGCCAGGTCTTGGGGTTGCCACCCTGCCAGGCGCTGGCTGATGGGCACCTCTGTTGGTTCCATTAGCCAGAGCTCTGCCAAAGGCCCCGCAATCCCCCTTCCAGGAGCACCTAGAGACAATTAAATGCCCTTTTCCACTGGCAACAACAACAAAAAAGTTTAAGATAACAGATTCTCCAACTCTTCCTGAACTCTCATCCTCTAAAATCCTAATCCAGCCTCTCTCCTTAACTCACAGCTTCCCCCTACCTCATTTTAAATCCCTCAGACTTTATCTTCACTAGTACATAATGTATTCTATCTTAGTTATATGTGTAAGACTTGCCTTATCAGTAATATCATAATCTTTCTTAAGGAAGGATTAAGACTTTCTTAAGGAACGATTAAAGCATACACTTCTTCTGTAACCCATGCTAACGGCATAGAAAGTCTTAGAGATTAAATATGCTTCATTAGGATGGGGCACTGGAACAAAAATCCTTTTAAACTCTGGTCTTTGTTCACCAAGCAGATTCCAGTGACTGTCTCATTCAACCCTCAATCATTTCTCAAAACCATCGTATCAGAGTATAGGTAAAAATTCTAAAGGTTACACACACACACACACACACACACACACACACACACACACACACAAACCTGTTAGAACTAAAAAGTGAATTCAGCAAAGTTGCAGATACAAAATCAATACGCAAAAATCAGTTGCATTTCTACTGACTAACAATGAACAACCCATAAAGGAAATTAAGAATAAACTCCATTTACAATAGCAACAAAAATAAGAAAATACTTAGAAATAAACTAAGGAAGACTAAGATTTATACAATGGAAACTACAAAATGTTGCTGAAAGATATTTTAAAAGATACAAATAAGTGGATTGAAATTAACATTAAAAATTAATATTGCTCATAAAAATTAATATTGCTAAGATGTCAATACTACACAAAGTAACCTACAGATTCAGTGCAATTGCTATCAAAATTTCAATGACTGGTTTTCCAGAAATAGAAATATCCATTCTAAAACTCATGGAATCTCAAGGGACCCCAACTAGCCGATATATCTTGAAAAATAAGAACAAAGTTGAAGGTCTCACACTTAACTGATTTCAAAAGTTACTACAAAGTTATAGCAATAAAAATGGTGTGGTATTAGCACAAAGACAGACATACACATATAGAACAACAGAATAGAATAGACAGCCCAGAAATAAACCCTCACATATATGATCAAATAATTTTTGACAAACATGGCAAGATCATTCAATGGGGAAAGGACAATTTTTTCAACAAATGGTATTGGGAAAACTGGATATCTACATGCAAAAAAATAATGAAGTTGAACCCTTACTTTAGAACATATACAATAATTAACTCAAAAAGGATCAAAGGTCTACACATAAAAGCTAAAAATATGCAACTCTTAGAAGAAAACACGGGGAAACTTCATGATGTTGGATATGGCAATGATTTCTTGGTTATGACACTCCAAGCATAAGCAACAAAAGAAAAAATAGATAATCAAAATACAAACTTTTGTGCATCAAAACATACTATCAATAGAGTAAAAAAGCAGCCCACAGAATGGGAGAAAATATTTGTAAATCATATAGCTAATAAGGGATTGGTATCCAGAATATATAGAGAACTCTTGCAAATTAACAGCAAAGAAAAACATTCAGCCTGATTTTAAAATGGGTAAAAAACTTGAATAGACATTTATCAAAGAACATATACCAATGGCTTACAAGCATTTTATATGTTCAAGATGCTCAACATCACTAATCATTGGGGAAATACAAATCAAAACCAAAATGAAATGGTATTTCAAACCCATTAAGATGACGATTATTTTAAAAATATAGTGACAAACTGGCAAGGATGTAGAGAAATGTGTTGGAATTGTAAAATGGTACAAGTGCTATGGAAAACAGTATGGTGGTTCCTCAAAAAAAACGAAAGTAGAATTACTATATGATCCAGAAATTCTACCTCTGCATATATACCCAAAAGAACTGACATCAGGGACACAAATAGGTGTTTGTACTCCTGTGTTCATGGCAGCATTATTCATAATAGCCAAAAAGTATAAGCAACCCAAGTGCCCATTGATGAAAAAATGAAAACACCAACTGTGGCACATACAGGCAATGGAATATTATTCAGCCCTAAAAAGGAAGAACACATACTCCAACATGGTTGAAACTTGAGCACATTATGCTAATGAAATAAGCAAGTCACAAAAGGACAAATACTATATGATTCCACTTACATGAGGTACCTAGAGTAGTCAAATTCATAAAGACAGAAAGTAGAATGGTGGAAGGAGAATGGAAGTTAGTGTTTAATAGGTACAGAATTTTAGTTGGGGAAGATGAAAAAGTTCTGGAGATGGATGATTGAGATGTTGCACACAATGTAAATGTACTTAATGTCATTGGTTAAATGGAAAATTTTACTTTATGTATATGTTACTACCATAATTTAAAAAAACAAAACCTTATCAGAATGATAAGGATAATAGCAATGATTATTCCAAACTGGGGTAGAGAAAAGGTTGAGAATTACAGTTCTGGATCACCGAATCATAGAACCTCAGGTGGAAGAGACATAACAAGGCTAAACCAGTCAACCAACCAGTACTTGAATCCCTTTTACAACATGACAGTGAACTCACTACCTGCCTAGGTTTCACTTGGGAAAGCTATATGGATGAGAGAGTTCTCCTTGCTGGAGGACAATCTGTATCCCTAAAGCTCCAACAATCCTGAGTGGTCTACGCATCAAGAATAAACAGAGCAAGCTTGCCCTCTTTCTCAATGTCAATACCTTGAACATGGTAACACAGACTGCATTGTCCACACATCCTCCCCAGATGCTCTCTCTCTCCCAAGCTAGAAATTCCTATTTCCCTCAGCACCTGTTCATATGAGCCCACTCTCATTTGTCCACATCACTCTAAATAAGACAGACAACACCAATCTTTTCACGAACCCTCTCCTGCTCGAATCCCACATGCATTGCTTCCCTGAGATGCAGTGCACACACAGGAAGGAACAACAGAGCAAATGAGCTTATCTGAACGCGTCCAATATTAACGCCACCTTGGAAGGCTTACGCTAAAGCTGCTGGCTCTACTTTCTAACTTCTTCTTGTCTTTCTTTTCCTTTTTTACAGAGGGCAGAAATCTAACATGGTTTCTTTTCATGTGTGTGACTGGCATGTAGGATTTGTTGACTTGGATTTTTATTTTTTTAACCTGAACAATAATATGGTTAGAATAAACAAACTTTGAGGCTTACTTTTTTCTTCTCTTTGGTTGGCTGATGGTTTTCCCTAATGTTCAGGCTTAGGCTGTTACCAGGGTCCAGTGAGTCTCACCCAACATTTCTAAGAGCTCAGCATACTGTGGATGGCAGAAGACAGCCTTTCCCACATCCTGCCTAGACACACTCGGACAGCACATATCCTGGAATCTGTGTCCAAGAACTGATCTCCAGCCACCTTCCAAGCATTACTCCTCATTATTTATATCTCATTCCCCACCCCTCCTCGTCAGTAGTCAGACATTTACACCCTAAGTTACAGGGAAAGAAACACCACTGTGCTTACTTGTTACAGCCACATGTCGGTTTGCTTTGCCTTCATCTATCACGTCCATGACCTCCTCAGGGCTTGACACAAACCGCTCAGTACACCCCTGGAAGAGAGTCAGTTCAGGTTCACCACTAAAAGAGTTGAAAAGCAACAATATTTTGAAACAGCTAAACATTTTCCCATTTTTCTTCTAGAGGTGCAGATAGAAAGGCTACAATGTCGACTCAACATTTTCTCCTTGCCTAAGGCTTGAGTTCTACATTAAAGAGAAGTCTGAACAAGCTCTAGGAAACCTAGAAGTAAGCCAAAAAAGAAATGCTGAATTTTCCTCGGTTTTTGAGTACATATTCATACTCAACAGCAGCACTTTAAGGAGATGGGAAAAAGTCAGTGAGAGAGGAAATGGATGAAGTTTTGCTTTGCCTTTCTTTTTTTTTTTTGAGTTGGAGTCTCACTCGGTCGCCCAGACTGGAGTGCAGCGGCCACTCCCGGCCACCGCAACCTCCCCTGCTGGGCTCCGGCGATCCTTCCGCCTCAGCCTTCGGAGTAGACAGAATTACAGGCATGTGCTACCACACCCAACTGATTTTTTTATTTATTGTAGAGATGAGGTCTCGCTGCCCAGGCGGGTCTCGAACCCGCGGGCTCAGGCAATCCACTCACCTCAGCCTCCCAAAGGCGCGGGATTACAGGCTGAGCCACCAAGGACTCGGCTTGCTTTGCCTTTCATCTTCATTTATTTTTACATTTTAGCCATCAACATTAGGCACTTTGAAGTTCTAGACAGACTGCCATCATAGGTTTCCCCTAACTACAAAGAACAAACGATTGTACTTAATACCAAAGCCTCTTCTTCAAATGCGAATAATTCTAAACAATAATATTAAAATAATAATTTACATAAAGGAAAGATAATATTGAAGAAATCAAATGTCTATTTTTAACCAGATAATATTAAATACAAGGAGTATGATTTTATATCTAAATGTTCTTTAGAGTTAATATTCTGGTCATCTTATGTGATAATTATTATGACAGTTGACTAGAGACAAATTAACTGTATTGCCAATCAAGTCTTCCTCATACCTTTACATATGGGACTCTGTTTTTATCTTCATGAACAGCCAAGTTGGTCTTGGATACTATAGAGATGATGATGAAGACATGCAAAAAGGAAAAGAAAAGTTAAAGGCCTTATATTGGAAAAAAATAGAAGTTGTTACAAAAGATCAGCAAATCTAATCTCTTGCAATATGCAAGTTTAAGTCTTGGCTGAGAAAAAGCATATGGCCTGAAAGCAATAGAATATCTCTATAAATTCTCATTAATTCCTTAAGCAGAAGTGCTGTAAATAATTTCAACCTCCCTGGACTTTTATTTTTACAGAATAAAGGACAAGCGTTCAGGTTACTCACCATCAAGTAGGTCCCTTATTTTGTCCAAGTAGATCTCAAAATAGGAAACCTGGTTAAAAACAAATTGAGTTTGGAATAGAAATGCCACAGTGTGTTTCAAAAATATCATTATTAAAACTAATAAAAG